CATAAACTGACATAGTGACGAACGCGGACCCTCAAGTATAAGCTTAGACTTTAGCGGTTGATTAATGCCATTACAGAAAAAATCTATCAAAACACAGTCCGGTAAATCAGAGTGATAGGCAATGTCCAGATACTGTTGAATGTAGTCCTCGAGCGAGCGTGTGCCTTTGTGCAATCAGTGCTGTGTGCAATCAGTGTAATGAATGATGGGATATGTAGTCCGGGGTGATATGCAACCGTGTGTAGTGCGAGAGTCAATGAAATGGAAAGGGTGACCTCTGATGGCTAGCAGACAGAAGTTCATGGACCGGATACGTGACAGTAGTCTACTCTACCAGGATCAGGAACTGTTGAACTGTTCTGGAACAGTGTTGTAAATACAACGTAACCACTGATTTCTAGTCGTGTCCTCTTTTGGAAGGCCAAACATTGTAGTTTCGCTTTCACAATGAACAATCTTCCCACATCGTGACGTAGACATGTGGGGGTGTCTTAGAACGAGCCGTTTTAGGTAGGCGTGGTTGACTCTTAACTTTTATAAAGAATATCTCTTTGGATTTGAGACTTTAGTCTTTGCAACTTTACAGATCTTCTTTATGCACCAAGAGCTTGTATCACTTCAAAGAGAAAGGAAAAATTTAAATCACATCATATGACCCCTTTAAATACATGGTTCAAACGTACTGCTGTAATAATCCCAAAGGATTCACCTACCTTATTGCTGGCAGTTATCACTGGAGACCCCCCCCCCCACCCCCCCCAAAAAAAAAAAAAAAAAAAAGAATAAACTGTTAAAATGTGTTATTTTATTTTATGTACATTTTAACAATGTTTTTGACGACATGGAATGAATCAATGACTCACTATTTGAAGTTTTAAACATCCAACAATTAATTTTTAATTTAATCTTGATAATGTAAACTACCTGAATACTTAAGCCTGTTGTACTATATGCACTTCTGCATTATGAAATTGTCCTTATTAACTTTATCTACTATATATGTTTGTTAGGTAGCTAATATTACCAGCCTGCCATATGACTGTTTTTTTCTTACTGACTAATTTATTAAGAAACAAAATGACATTTATTTTTGCTATATATTTATTTTACAATGTATGCTCTACATCGTGACATTTAGTTTTAGTCATATATTAGTCATCTGAATTGACTAGTTTTCATTTCAATTTTAGTCAACTGAATATCATAATATTTTATTTGACTAAATATACAGTTGATTTAGTCAACTAAAATTTAACAGGTTTAGTTCAAATGAAGTTAATTAATTAAGCATTCATATTAACATCTAGTTAAACAGTTAATATTAATGATATTAAGGTTTGAACATCCAATGCAGACACATATTTAATTGTTGTAACATATAATATATCCGTGTTTATTTTAAAATGAAATAAAATCACTTCTTATAAAGAAACAAGAACATGGTCTTCTTTTCAATAAAAAAACAAACAAACAAAACATATTCATTCTTTATAACAACTAGAATACAACAAGTATGTTTATTCTTTCAAGCAGACATATATATTTGTATAAATTAAATATAGATTAATCCTTGTTGGTGCATATATTCAGAATTTTATTCCGTTCGCATAAAGTTCAAGGCATTGATGTTTGCCTACAAAACCACCAGTCTCTGCACCCCTTTACCTAAATTCATTACTTCAGACTTATGTGCCTTCTAGAAGCTTGCATTCTGCAAGTGAACGTCACTTTATTGTGCCATCCCAAAGAAGCACAAAATCACTTTCACAGACTTTTAAATTAAATGTTCCCTCCTGGTGGAATGACCTGCCCAACTCAATCCGAGCAGCTGAGTCCTTAGCCATCTTCAAGAATCGGCTAAAAACACATCTCTTCCATCTTTATTTGAACCTCTAAGTCTAGCACTCTCTATTCTAAATTGTATTCTTAAAAAAATAAATAAAAAAAATAACACTTGCTTTATCTTTTTGTATTCTATCTGTTTTCTTTTAATTTATTATACAATTAACAAAAGCAAAAAAGACCTCTAACACTAGCTTGCTCTATTCTTTTTCTATTCTATCTGTTTTCTTTTTATTTATTATATTATTTAAAAATCCCTTGCTACGTGTACTGCGTTAAGCTAACTGAGACTTATAGCATTTGTATATCATTGCTCTTTTGTTTATTTTGATTGCTTCCATTGTCCTCATTTGTAAGTCGCTTTGGATAAAAGCGTCTGCTAAACAGTGGTGGACGAAGTACACAAATCAAGTACTTGAGTAAAAGTACAGATCCGTAAAATAAAATATTACTCCAGTAAAAGTACTCCATTTTCAATTTTTATTTTCAATTTTATATTAGCATATTTTTTTTTTTTATAACCCTACTGCTCAAAATACCTGGGATTTTCCCAAAATAACCATATTTGTACTTTATATCTAAAAATTACCTCAATTTAGCACCAGCAAGCTCGTTAGCTAGACAGTTATCATCAGCTAACATCATTGACTTATTTTCAGCATGGTTATGAATAAATATTTGTCTACTCGGCTAGTTGATCCAGATACATAGTAACGAACTACCTAATTTTGCTATAAGTTTGATTGCATCATATAATAATTGCTGTTAATAGTGTTCATCGTCTGTTTGATCACATCTTTAATTGATTTTTCCATACATTTCTGCCATATGTACATAAACTGACAGTCACCACTGATAAGCTACCACTAAATATTGTAGAAACTTCATTTTCTTTTAAGTTGCTTTGCAACGATTTGTATCATAAAAAGCGCTATACAAATCAATTTGAATTGAATTGAATTGAAAATATATTATTGAAAATCTGCCCCCTCTGATAGGCCTCCTCACTCTAGACTCTCCAGAGCTCTAGATAGCAATGTCAAGTTGTTAGGCTCTCTGTGAGCCTCCTTGATAGCTGTCTTGAGCATAGGATGTAGTCAGGCCTCCTCTCACCAGTCAACTTTTTGACTACAGTTAGGAGGAGTTAAGTCACGACAGCCACTGATGTGTACCTTAGGGATTGGTACTTCAATTGGTACCCAATATTCTCACTGACAATCATTTAGGCACTCATCCCTTCAGCATTGTGGATTGGGTATTTAGTTCCCCATAGTGTCCACTAGAGAATACACTGTGAGTTGAGAGTGAGACACAGAGAGTGATTTTGCTGAATTTACTGTTAACTTAAAGGTCCCATATTGTCAAAACTGAAATTTCCTGGCTTTTTTTTATGATAACTGAGGTCTAGGTGCTATGTAACTACCTTATAAGTTTCAAAACAGTCAGTCCACAGACAAATGCACACAGCCTGCATAAAGTACCTGTGATTTTTCACGATCCGTTGGGACTTCCATAAAAAGGTGATGTCAGAGCTACTCAGTCACCGCCTTCAGTCACCACTTCGAGCACTGCCCACAGTCCCACTCTCCTTTTGCCAAACCCCCAGACAACATCGCGTCCATGCCATTGCTGAGCAACAACAACACGGAAACATGTCGAGAAAACGCTGTTCAGTCTGGATGTCAGGAAACTACATCATTGCACAACAGGGCTGTGACGGTCGCCGTGAAAACCGCGTCAACCGTTGTCTATAGGCCTATTTCACAACATGACGTCAGCAAGCCGGATGTAGGGAAAACTCTTTTCCGGTAAAAGCGCTTCCAGAACAATGGCGGAGACTAAAAGTAGTCAATCTTGTAGCATACCTTTGTGTTTCAACACAAGAAACAACCGTACTTATCGTTTCATAGCTTTCCCAATGATGAAAATATGAAAAAGCATTGGATTTGGGCTATACGAAGAGATGAGGGGGCGGCATTTACATTGAGGAAGGGCAACACTTTTGTGTGTGCTATGCACTTCACGGAGGATGAAGTCCGCCACAGTCCGGGCGTAAAAATTCTTACACCGCAGGCTGTGCCTTCCAGGTTTTCGTGGAACAACTGGTGAGACGTTAAATCACGCCAGACACGGACGGCAAAAAGAGGTGTCTGTGGTGAGCAGGAGGAAGCTAATGTTGAAATGGAGAGTGTTAATGCTGTCTTGCAGGAGCACGATTACAACAGCCGCCCTCTTCCGGGTGAGTAGCTATAGCGTGTTGTTAGCTAATACAATAAATAGCCCAGAGTCAACAAAGATAGACAGAAGAACAGTAGGTAATTGTTAATTAAATAGAAATTATATAATTGTCTAATATATACAATGCTAGATATATAAAAATACGAGCACAGTTATGCTAACAATGGAGCATGTTTGTAAGGTGAATGTGTTGTATGATTATTTGTGCGGTCTGCTGCAGAGTGCGAACCAATAACACGATTTAAATCCAGTTATAACTGTTAATTTTTACCCTTGTCAGCCCCTGTTTATACTGCTGTCTGTGGATTAGCTCAGTGGTTCTCAACCACGTTGCTGGATCCCCCCAGCACTGCACATGTTGTATGTTTTCCATGTCTGACACACCCATTTCTTGACTTGTAGTCTCTTATGAGCTAACTACCTGAATCATGTGTTTTTGATTAAAGGGACAGATCACACCAAAATGAAAATGAAAATGGTCTTCATTTACTCACCATTTACTCACCCTCAGTTTGTTCACAAAGGAAGATATTTGTAAGAATGTCAGTAATTAAACAGATCTGTTTCCCGACTATGGTAGTAAATGGTGTTCAAGATCTTTTTCTTTTTTTTTACTGACATTCTTCCAAATATCTTCCTTTGTGTTCAGCAGAACAAAGAAATTTATAAGACAATGCAATAAACAAATTCAATACAATACAGCAAATCCAGATTTGTTATAATAATGGCATTATATATTGGGGTGAATAAAGAGAATAAAGAGTAAAGTGAGAATATTGGGGTGAATAAAGAATTTACAGTGATGTTATAACTATTATATAATTGCATAAACCTGTAATAGTTATTTACCAAACTGAGTTGTTGTTCATCAGAAATGTACTCTAATAATGAATTGTCATGTTTAACATAATATAAAAAAATTTAATTAGGTGCTCTTGATGAGGCATTGGAAAAAATAAAAGAACTGGTGTCAAGCTGGAGGAACTGGTGTCGAGCCTTACCATCTCTCGAGCTTTGCTGGATAGATGGTGTGTGTCTGATGAAGACTTCAGGTATTTCACGAGGTTCTCAAACAAAAACATCCACCACCACCTCCTGCTCACCAGCCAGTAACATCGGCCACCACCCCCTCCTGCTCACCATCACTTCACCAGCCAGTAACATCGGCCACCACCTCCTGCTCACCAGCCAGTAACATCGGCCACATTTTTCTTTGCCTTGCCACTCAACAAGAGCAGGTACAACCTCTTATAAAAGTTGTGTAGTCACTATTGCCCTGTTTAATAAGAGAAGCCCCATGATATATCACTACATAATTTCATAAATTTAGTACCTTAAATTACTTGTGTACTTTAAAAAAATAATAAATAAATAAAAACATTACCTGCCACTTCTCCAGGTAAAAACAAATGTGTAATTGTAGCAACTGTTCTGTACTCATTAACAGTGTAAAAAAATGTATTGCAAGAATCTTCAGTCAACCTCATTCCTTTGCTAGGTAAATATTTCATTTTCTATTTATTTAGTATTTTGGTCAATATTCTTATTAATTGTGGCCAAGTATTAAGTAGCATTAATAGATCACCTACACACATTTTATAACAGACATTATATTTGTTTCATTTATCACCAGCCAGTAACATCGGCCACCACCTCCTGCTCACCAGCCAGTAACATCGGCCACATTTTTCTTTGCCTTGCCACTCAACAAGAGCAGGTACAACCTCTTATAAAAGTTGTGTAGTCACTATTGCCCTGTTTAATAAGAGAAGCCCCATGATATATCACTACATAATTTCATAAATTTAGTACCTTAAATTACTTGTTTTTATTTTTATTTTTTATTTTTTTTGAAGTACACATTACCTGCCACTTCACTGTAATTGTAGCAACTGTTCTGTTCTCATTAACAGTGTAAAAAAAATGTATTGCAAGAATCTTCAGTCAACCTCATTCCTTTGCTAGGTAAGTAATTTCTGTAATTTTCATTTTCTATTTATTTAGTATTTTGGTCAATATTCTTATTAATTGTGGCCAAGTATTAAGTAGCATTAATAGATCACCTACACACATTTTATAACAGACATTATATTTGTTTCATTTAACAGAAGCAGAGAAAAGCTTGTCCTAACCTAGCCTACTTTGTGACACTGTGGTCTAACTTGTCGTAAGTTTGAGTTTTTGTTACCCTTTTCAGACAGGATTGTAAGTTATATTATTTGTAGGGCTTCCCTCGACTAAAGATTTTTCTGGTCGACTAGTAGTTGTTAATTTTAAGCATTAGTCGACTATTAGTCACATGTTTATTAATAAACCATATAAATCATAATAATGAGCCTTTAATTGCATAAAGCGCTCAAGCGCACACACCAAAAAAAAAAAGGGTTGCCACAGCGTACTGGCAGAGATAATAATTATGAATGTGTCTGGGAAAAACAGCAAAAGAGACTGCATTAACATTTTAATAATTAACATAAACTAACTCTTCTTAATGACCTGCAACAGCATCTTTCAGATTTTTAGCACATTGACCTTGACTGTCATTGACTCATCTTTCCAGCTTGGGAAAAGTAAGTTTTAACAATATATTTTCAATGTTCTGTAATAAAGATTTGAAAAACATATATCATAAATCTTAATTTAAATTGAATAACAAGCTATAAAAAAAATCCTAAAGTCTACTGCAGTTAACGCTTAAATGAACTATTAATGACTAATCATCTGATTTCTTTTTCTTGCGAACTAAATAACTATTTAACAGTGAATGATAGAAACATCATTGGTTAGGCAACACTTCTTGCATATTTTCTCCCTAGCAAAACATGAATGTATGTGCCAAAGTAGAATTCATCAGCTTTAGCCTTGATTTCTTGGATCAGCTCATCATTTCTCCATACTCTCTCCACAGTGAAGTCACCCCTAGTATTTGTCACCAGATCACACCAAGATAAGCCAGTGACCATCAGCTGACCCTGGACTTGCCAGTGGTAGGTGTGTGATTTCCTTAGATTTGCTTGGCCTCCAACAAACTCGGTGTGTGATGCCTCTCCTATGTCTTTCACATCAGGGCACTTAACTTCTACCAGGCCATAGGGAGGGTCTTCATTTGGGTCTACCACCTTGCCATCTGGACTAGCACCAAGGTGTGGAGCTTCGGGGTGGATGATGAGACCGCATGGAAGTACATTGACATTGAAGGTCTCAGCATAGCGGCGAAGAACCTCTGGCTCAAGTTCCACTCCTCTACGCATTGCTTTGGTCTGGGGGGCACCTTTAATGATCCGGCCAGCAAGTGTTTTTGCAGTGGATTCTGACCTCACACGAGCTGCTTCGTAGAACTTGCTTGCTGTAAGCCAGAGGCGACGCATGCTAAACCAGAGTGGGCTTTTGGATTGATCCCGTGTTCCCTCCTCAATGATCCCTGACATTTCAGGTGTCACCTCCAGGCTCTGCATATGCATGAAGCTGCCAGGGACAAAATGATATTGTGGAAGTGTGTATTGTGGGACAGGTAATGGGGGGAATTCTGCTGCATTTGGATGGGTAAGCACATCTATTGGCAGCACAGCAGGACACTGGTAAGAAAGCAGTGAACCTTATGGGACCTCTCCAAATTTTGATGAAACCATGGTTACAGCAGACATCCCATCAACAATCTTTGCGATTAGTGGTTGAGGTCGAAGGGAAATGAGGGATGCTGCTCCAGCAATCACATCATTATCAGGCAAAGGTCCTAAAACAAAATGTTTATGTCTCACTGTGTTAATTGTTAACTATTTCGAAAATGTGTTTTATTAGTATTTGGAGAGTACCTCCATATGCTTTGTACAGAGTTGACTGCACACTGCTCCTACCAGAGGCTTTTGGCTTGCGCACCACAAGCTCATCCACTGGTTCTGGAGTTATGCCCTGACAAAACATTTATATATATTGTATGGGGTTGTAATCTGATTTGCACATTATGCACTTTAAATTTATATATATTTTTTTTTTTTCGTACTGCTTTATTTATTGTTATCTGTTGTCAAATTAAAACTGTTTGAAGGATCAGAAGTTTTCTTTTTCATTTTACCTGGGTGCGGGGTCTATGCCAGGCCTGCTGCTTGCTTGTGCATGCAAGGGCAGCTGGAACATTCTTGGTGCCTAGCGTACTAAAATGTGCTGTCTGGTAAAGTAATGCAACCAGATGGTTGCACAAACTTCTTCCAGCAGCACACGAACATGTATATGCAGTCAGTTGAGGTGGGGTGCTGGTTTCAAGAGTGATCTAAAGAAAGAGATACAAAGACTTTCATGTATTTCACATATTTAACACTTTAGTGTTTACCCAAGTTTGTTTATTGTATGTTTGGGACAGCTATTGTTTAAGTTATTTTTTATTATATGTATCATATATGTACATATACATTATACATATACGAGTATAATATGTGTGTGAGTGCATGTATGTATGTATATATATATATAGTATATATATATAGTCATACTTGCACACACACTTATGTATGCATTACTATATGCAGTATCACATGCTATGTTAACTTAATCCTAACTGCAGATGGTGCTGTTACTGCTAGACTTTATCGCTACGTTTGATATTGATATTGAGACAAGTAATGCATTATAAACAATCATTAGCTAAATCCTGAATGTGATGGTAAATACCTCAAGCTGATGTGGTTCTTCACGCTTTCTTAATGACCTATAGCACCTGGCCCTAATGACCACTTTCCCTAAAATAATGTTTGAGACTGAAGTGTCCAAACACACACACACACACACACACACACAAACAGTTATTAACGGGACGTTTTTATTATTATTATTAAACAACTTTTAAATTCATCCATAAAAACAACACTGATAATTCGGAAATTAGCTATCATGGCAGCTGTCTAACATAATACCTTGATAATCAAAAATGAATTGCTCAAAAAAGAATTTATAACCCTTGTCCGATTTTGATCGCCTCACATCTCCCTGAAAACTATCAACAAAACGGACAACATCTGCTATTCTTATTGTTGGCAAATTTATTAATGATTCGGAGAAAACGAGTTCGCACTCCATTATGACAATGAATGTATGAATGAATGAATGAATGAATGAATGAATGAATGAATGAATGAATGAATGAATGAATGAATGAATGAATGAATGAATGAATGAATGAATGAATGAATGAATGAATGAATGAATGAATGAATGAATGAATGAATGAATGAATGAATGAATGAATGAATGAATGAATGAATGAATGAATGAATGAATGAATGAATGACGATCGTAACAGGCGGCGGCGCGACCGGACGTAACGCTTCCCTACTTCCGTTCTCGGCCGCCATATTGTGAAATAGGCCTATTCTCCATTGTCTTATGTTTGATGCTGGTCTGAATTTTCATTTACTTTTTTGTGTGCAATTTTTCCTCTTTGCTGCACAGAAATCTTAACCGGGGTGGCTCCCACTGGCTC